ACGGGGGCAGCCGCACATCAGCCAGCAGAAACAGAGCCGGATTTCTCAAGCACAGGGAGTCCCAGCTTGGAAAAGCCTCTGATCATGAATTCCAGCTGCCCCACTGGTACTTTGGAATCATCATCTCAACAGATGGGAGAAGGGGCTGATACTGAGTCTTGGTGCTGGATGAATTTGCCAAGGAGGCAGAGAGAAGCAGCACCGGACACTGAGTCACCCTGCCTTTGCCTGTGCCCCTGCTGTTAGAAGCGTTCACTGGGGGTTTAACTGCATTTTAAGTATTTTAATGACTTGGCATCAAGAGCAGTTCTTGCTGTCTAGCTGCTGCCCAGCTCCTATTCCAGACTTTATCTCAATGAATGACTATCGGCAGTACAAACATCCCCACTGGAACACTTCGATAAGAGCCTCATAGCGGTTTGGTATTTAATTCGCTGATCACAGGCCAGAAATAAGCTCCATAGTTGGTTTTTTTTCCCCTTGTTTTTCACAGTAATTCCCTATCTTCCCCCTTCCTTCTACCGTCCCTGCTGCAGTCCGGAGGAGTGAGACAGCGGGGCGGTGGGACCGTGTCCCTCCCGGAGGGCAGCAGCGACACAGGGACAGGAGGGGAGCACCAAGCTCCTCCGGAATCGCCTCTCCGAGAGCGCTGCGGGCCGCCCGACCGCCTCCATCCCGGAGCCGCATCTTTCCCGGGAGCTGCGGGGACCGGGGATGCGGGGAGGGCACCGGGGAGTCTCGGAGAGCGCCGCCAGCAGCGGAGCGCCTTTCCCGGGAGCGGGAGAGGCTCCAGCCTTACCTGGACCAGTAGGGCTCGGTGCCGCCATCCCGCCTCATGCCGCTGCCCGGGGGCACATTCCTGCCGCCGCCCCCCGCGGCCATGCGGGCAGCGCCTTCCGCCTCCCCGGCTCACATCGCGGCCCCGCCGCCGCTCCCGCCCCCGCCGGGCCGCGGCCACGTGTCAGCGCCTCCCGCCGCCCCCGCCCGCCGCACCGCGCCGGGAAGTCCCGCCCGGGTCGGTGCCGGTGCCGGGGCCGCTCTGCCAGCCCCGGAGCCGCGGAGCCGGGAGGATCCGGAGGGGCAGGTGCCGGCACCGGCCAACCGCGGGGTTCCGCTCGTTCCCTGTGCTCCGGGAATTGCTGACACCCCCAGCGGGAACAGCGAGGGCACGGAAAGGGGACGCAGCGAGGGCACGGAAAGGGGACGCAGCAGGATCTGTCCTTCTGCTCCCGTACCTGGACAAGGAATAGCTCCGTTCATTGCTGACACCCCCAGCGAGCACAGCGAAAGAGGGGACAGAGCAGGGTCTGTCCTGCTCCCGTACCTGGGCAGGGAATAGCTCCGGTCATTGCTGACACCTCCAGCGGGCACAGCGAGGGCACAGAAAGGGGACGGAGCAGGGTCTGTCCTTCTGCTCCCGTACCTGATTCCTGCTCCCGCTGCTCTGACGGGTTTGCCAGCAGAAAAGTCTCTGCTTCTGCTTTTTAAGGATTAGAAGCGAGTATAACGTTCGATTCCGAAGATAAAATAAATAGGGATGAATGGTGTTACAGCTTGATTTATGTCTGTTGGATAAAGGCGCTGCCTTGCTGTATCTGAAAGAGATAATCAAACTCCTTTGTGCAAATAAATAATTGAAATGATGGTTATCTCAGTCCGCAACAAAAGGACTCGTGACTCACTTAAAGATCATGAACGAGCAGGCTGGAGGAGCCTTGTAGAGGCATCGTTCAGGTGATGCTGTGGCCGGTTTCAGCCTGGAAGCTGGAACGGCAAAACTTCGGGTGAGCAAAGGATGGAGCAGCTCCGGCACAGCCTGAGCAAGGTCGTGCATGGCCCCTGGGAAAGGTACCAGAGCTGCTGGGCTGCACCAAAACGCACAGGTGCAGGGCAGACACCTCCTGTCTGCTATTCCTGCAGCCAGAAACCTCTCCATCCTCGGTGGAATGAAGCCTTTAGCAGATTAATGTTTAGGTAATTCAAATATCCTTCTCCCAGCATGAATCCTTTGGCAGGCCCCTGATGAACAGTTTGCTACAGGAAGCATAACACTATCATTGAGCTGAAACTTTGAGAGTGAAATAGGCAAAAAGGTGAAATACACAAAAGACAGCTCCACAGAGGAGGTTGCTGAAAAAGTAGAAATCATCAAGCCATACTTTATCATTTGCTTTTATTTCTTCCTCAGGAGAAGAAAAAAAAAAAAAAAAAAAAAAAAAAAAAAAGATCTTCCCCAAATGCCTGTGGCATAGTCAGGCACAGTCGCACAGACCTGCTGCACACAGACAACACAAATACAACAAGCTTTGCTGCAAGTAGAGACTGAGGGGAACCACGTGTAGTAACCACTTTAGCTTTCATTTAGTTGTAGGCTTTCCTCCCGTTATTTGGGCAGGAAATGAAACTCTGAAGTATTTTTATTCACTCTGCTACTGTCCCCTTTTCCAGAAGAGGGAGCCAAGTCATGGCAAATTGCAGGCAAAACTGTAAACCACTGACAATGTATTTTGGGTTTCTTAAATTGTGTGTGTTTGGAGTTTAGTTAACTCGAGGCAGGAGGGCAGATGGGCTCTGATGTAACTACAGAACTGAAATCCATGCAATAAGCTGAGGAAAGAACTGAAGAGCCTTGGGCATGGTAACCACAGATGCAGAAAACTTATGAGCTCATAGCCAGGTATGAGGGATCCTGTGTCAGTCTCACCGCTGAGGGGTGCAAACACTTCCAACACTGACACTGCAACAATGAATCACACTTTCAGTGAGTTAGTAGTTGAGTTGGAAGTCAAGCACAAATTTTCATTATTTTTGTACCTTTTTGTTCCTTTCCTTGTCCACCTCTTCAATTAGGAGCTTGACTAATCTGCCTCTCAGATAAGAAGCTACTTTCACTGTCCAAACCAGCTGCAGTTGAAAGTGTTTGAGTGCAATATCCATCACATTCACATAAATAAATTTAAAGAGTAAACACACAGACATAATTCCTTTTACTGCTGCATAATTTTCCATAAGCAAACCTCCCACCAAGCTGATTAAATGACAAATGGAATCAGCTCAGAGGACAGGTGCTGACTAAAGAAAATAATCTTACACAAGAACACAACCTCCTCTCATTTTTCCTGTGTTCAGCTTAATCTGTCGAAAGGTTAAACCAAACAAGATTACTGGGTTAATATTTGACCTGATATTTACTATCCATGTAGTTCACCCATACAATGGTTGAATTACTTGAAGATTTTATGAAGTAAAGCACAGATTAGGATCAATTCCTGAAAGGGTATGAATGGAGCAAAAGGCTCACACATTCCATGAAGGACAATTGTTGTCTCCTGAAAGGACAGTGAGTGCAGCTTGAGAGCTCCCTAACTCAGCACAGTTTCAATGCAACTTTTCCACACAATAAAGAAAACACACGTAGGTTTCTACTGCTACATAATCCAACATAGCAAAATTAGTAGGCAGCAATACACTGAAAAAAAGCAAATTATCAGAGAAGTTGGCAAATTGAGCCTGCTTGTAAATGAACAGCAACTTCCATGCAGCAACTCATGCAGGCGAGATAAGGTGGCAGGATATGGTTGGAACCATGCTGCAATCCTCATGAAGAGCATGACAGGACACAAAGGCCTTTCTGGTCTGAGGTGCCTGAATGCATCAATATGCAGCCCACCAGTAGTTTGGGCAACTTTGTGCTTAAGTGAAGGCAGAGGGGGAGCAGAAAGGAATAAAAATAGTTTGTAGCACCTTGAGGTGCCCATGGAGAAGCACAAATCCTTCTGAGGGTGCTGTTCATGAGCTCTGTGTTCTGTCTGTGCTCAGCTGAGCACACCCAGCAGTGAGCAGGGCTGGGGACACCATCTCAACAAAAGCTCCAAACCCTCCTTGCCCCTTTTTGTTAAGGACAGCAGAGCAGAAACAATTCCTGACACGGCGTCGCTTCTGGAAGGAAGAGAGAGCTACAGAGCAGGTCAGAACCTGCAGCCTCAGGGCAGATTCAGGAAAAACAGGACTCCATACCCTGCTCTATTCTGGCTCTCAAGGATGCTCTCAGCCGTGGCTGACAGCAGCAGCCCCATTTCCCGTGAAGACACAACACACAGGGATCCAACTCCATTTAATGAGCTTTGCAACCCACTTGGACACAAGGTGGTTTGAAATAAGTTGAACAACACTCAGTCAGTCAAGGATTTTTTAAAGTAATGCCTTTAAGCTTATACTCAAGCATACAAAGCATAAATTTTACAAATTAAAAACAATAAAATCACCCTGGAATAATGTAGTGGCTTTTCCTGTATTTACAAGGAGTGGAAAGGAAGCAGAATTCTTTTCAATTTTTCTTTTAATGTGGGTGAAAGAAGCTGAAAGTGTTTAAATGAAATCATCTTAAAGAGAGAGAGGTACTAGAGGTACTTCATCTGGCTTAAAGGTGTATGTTTGCCTCTTCAAAAGTCTTGAGAGGAAATGCTTTACTCGAAATTCTGCTGTTAAGTTTCTGTGCAGCAGCCTCTGCTTTTCCAACCATATAAAATTAAACAGTTCAGTAAGTATTTCTCAAAGTATCACCACAAATTCATATTCAGGAAAGCCTGTGAACCCCCACCCTTCCAAAATCCCTCCTTTGTACAACAGAAGCAGCCACAGCTCAGCTTAGATTTGACAGGCAGAAACAAAACATGGGAACAGCAAAGACAGTTACAGGGAGGTGATGGCTTTGGGAAAAGGAGGGAGATTTGGAGCCTAATCAAACACACTTGCTATGCAGCCTTTCAGCAGAGGTGTAAGACAGGATATTTTTTACAATCCAGCTTCTCCACATCCATAGCATGAATGAAAATATCTTATTTGCTTTCACCAAAGGCAAGGCTTGGGGAGGAAAAGTGCACCACCTCTAAGGAGCAGATCTGTCTGCCAACGTTGGGTTTGGAACAAATCTTCTTACAAAAGTTATTTTCATATTGTTCTAAATTCAGTGGAACAAAATATGTATTTTTACACTAAAGCAAACTGATCAAAGTGGCATTTAATAGTATTTGTTAAAGTGGTTATCTAACAAAAATGGGTTAACAAAAGCCCATTCATTAGTAGTCACCAAATAAGACACTTCTCATGCATATGACAAAAATTCATTTGTGTACTGAGACATCTGTTTACTGTGTACAATATTTCCATAAATTATAATATGTTTCACAGCCCCTACCATTCAAGAATATTTCAAACAGATTATATATTATATTTGTATATGCAAACTATTTTATATACACTAATATAAAGATCCTTAGAAGTACCAATATCACTACCTTTATGCTTTCTCTAAAATGCATAGCTTTCGAGTATCTTCTTGCAGTTACCAAAAACTTTACAGATTAAAGCTGCTTATCAATGTGGCATGTTCATAAAAACAAAGTGAAATAGTTCTAGACTAATTTTATATTAACCCCCTTAAAAACGTGTTTACTTTTTTAATGGAAAAAAACAACAAGCTCGTGGAAATTCAAGTAATCTATGCTCAATCATTGCCCAAATACTCTATGGAATTAAGGTAGCATTCTAGGAGGACAGTGAACTTCTCACCCAGGGCTGTAATACTGCATTTCTCATGGAGAAAAATGCTCATCATGCCACAAAACCGCACCACTTTCCACTTCACCAGAGAGAAGCTGTACAGGAGATTCAACAACACAAGTGTCAGAACAGAGAGGAAAAGCTGATCAGTTCTACATGAAGAAATTAGAGCTATTCCAGTTTTGTTTCTGCAGTTTGTTATTAAACAAAGTTACATTAACCGTACAGTTTCTCACAAACTAAAAGTTATACATGGTTTTCAGACATCAACCGACTTCAAAAAGAAAAAAAAAAATTAGAAAAACCCCAAAACAACCAAACCCACAACTGTTAAAAGTTTGGTGTTAGAATAACCAACCTGGGTGAAGGAAAGCCAAACTGCTGCTGTAGCTGGGGGGCTACTGATAGCTTGTTTGTTATATATAAACTTGGAGACCTCCCTACCACAAATGCCTCAAAGTGGAGAACAGAACCATCAGTAAGAAATGAGAACAAATGATTTTGTTACATCCATCATCTTGCTTAACCTTGGTGCTCTGCATCTCTCACAGCTGCTTAACAAACAATGGCTTCCCCCCCAAAATAGCTACACAAGTAAACAGTGTTCACAGTAATGCAATCAGTAACAGGTTTTGTTAGTTCCCCTAAGCCAGGTGTATCTGCAAAGCTTTATACAGTTTAATGCATTAAGTATTCCAGTAAAATTAAGTGAAAACTAAGTTTCATTCTACAGGGTAATACCTACCATACAAGACTAGATTATGTACAGTATGGGACTGGTGTGACAACTGCCAGTGTCTCATGATGTTAAACTGTTTCACTCATCGGCTTGCTCTGTGCTTGGCAAAACTTGATCTATAGACCTAAAAATCTAGAGATAGATTTGGCAAGATTAGTGCTTCCTACCACTGGGTATACACCAGTGTGCAGTGCTGCAATCACTCGACCAGAACATCCCATACCCAGAAGATTACAATTTGTTGACTTGAAAGTCTGGACTTCACATTAAAACTATAGTTCTAACTGGAGTGAGGACAGTCAGTAAACAAATACAGATGAGGATGAACTGCATCTCTTCAGAAAGGTATGGAAGAAGTGACAAAATGCAAATTTCTGGTTTTAGACAGCCCTGCTTTGCTTAGCTCAAGGCATAAAAACAGCCCAAGTAGCTCTAAAACTACAATTCTTATTCAGCAAACATGAAGGCAGATCCTGCAGAAGATGATGCATCAGAGGCTTCAACAAGCATCTCTCCCCACCCCTTGATTTCCTAACATGAATCTTTCAGCTTACAGACATCCAGTGGCCTTCAAAGCTGTAGCAGCCACCTGGAATTGCTGCAGTTTTAACATAGGGGGGAAAAGGCCCCTGTTAAAAAAACCCTCAAATGCCTCTGGGGCCATTTTGGTCATTTGTGAATATTAAGGAAAAACCTATTTCCATCAATACTCCTCCTGAAAAGATGGGTCACTGATCCATTATGAACATAGCTCTCACCATATAAAGCACCAAGAAGTCAGAAACAAGGAAGAAAAAAAACCAAAACAAAAGTCCTTAAATTATGATTTACAAGTTTGTACACTATTTCCTAAGCAAAAAGTTGACCTTACTGCAAAGTTTATAGATGAAAACTTGACCAGTTACTTTTAAGGGGAATGTATATCTGGCTATAACTTAAAGGTAGAAAATATTCACTGTTCTATATACACATTTCAAACAGAAGACAGTTAAACTGAACAGTTGCCAATATAACTCCATATTAACTCACTGGCCACTAAACTAGGCATCAGCAGCCAATTAGAAAGCTTGAGTTCTGTACTTTTAAAAATGCTATTTTTCCTGTCCTGTTTAATTGTTTTTTTAAAAATGTATTATAGTGCATAGCCTAAGTCAGACTTCCAAAGAGATACAGCGCCTTTCAATGCAGTTTTTGCAGCATTTAAAAGGGACTTTTCTCCCTTCAAATTAGATGTTCATTGAAAAATCTGAATTGAGTGCTGTACTGTAGTAAAAATATTTCAGTCACAGACTGATATAAATGTATACTGTGCAGTACTAAGATTTTTTGATGTCCATCTGCACACATTTTACTTGGGCTCTTCAATTGTCCCCTTGCTGAGGTCTGTCATTTTGGGGTATTTCACTTTCTTCTGGTCCAGCTCATTCTGAGCCCACAGTAGTAGTTTCAGTAATTTTGCCAACTTGGGTGTTGATTCACGATTTTCATAGTCTAGAACAGCTTGATTAACCTCACTCCATACCTGAAAAAGAAAAACTGGAGTTCAGTGACAGTTTTCATATAATTAACACTGCTAAAGTCACGCAGACACTGGGAAGATCACACCTAGTGTGCTAATTCCTCAGAAATGGCCAGGACAAAGCTCCACAGACTACAAGCCTGGAGAAAGGAAGGAAGAGAGCCAAGCAGTTGAAAACATTTGGAATATATTAACACCATTTTTAAAATCTCGCTCAATAAACACTTCTGTTCTTTTGCATATCACTATATAAGTTTTCTCTGAGCATTTCAAAAATATTTAGATTTTATTTTCATAACATCCATATAAAAGACATCAGTTCCCTTTGAGAAAGGACTACCTTCTGTCGCTGCATCATGTTCAGCAAGTCTCCAAATGGTGATTCCTCGGGATTATCAAAGGCAAGCAGAGCCAGCGTGCGCTCCATTTCTGTCAGGCATTCCCTGCTCTCCTCCCCTTGTTCTGCTAATTGGGTCTGAGCAAATTCCAGAGCTGCCTCTGTCTCACGCTGCCGGATCAGCTCAATCAAGTGCTGTTGCTACACACGAAAGACACAGCAATATTAGCTCAACAAATTAACAAATCTCCACTACTGCAAGGCTGGAAGATTCAGACACTGGTGTGTAATTTGAGACAAATGCTAATCTGTAATTTGACAGTTTGAGGTCAATTCTTCTCAATGTGTGAGACAAGGAGCAGCAAGATGGCTGCAAAATCCACTGAAAAGGGAACTTACTGCTTCTAAGTGACAAGGTTTGAGAAGATGGGTTACTAAAGGAATTCAGGCCAACAGTGACTGGAAGCTGGTAAGTCACAGGTCACTGGTGCTGTTACAAGTTTTCATGTTAATAACTGTATATAGTAGCTCCTGCACCAAGCCACAAAGTTTCCCATTGCTACCAAAAAATGCCAAGAACACCCGCAGTTGCGTCCATGTTCAGCCACAAACCTCTCAACACAACCTTAATTTCTGCACTACTTTTCCCATTCTCTCAGCAAACTCCAAGACAAAGATAAAAGTCTGCCAAGAACACCTGCAATTGCACCGATGTTCAGTCACAAACCTCCCAACACAACCTTAATTTCTTCACTACTTTTCCCATTCTCTCAGTAAACTCCAAGACAAAGAGAAAAGTCTGCCACCTGTCCTCACCTGCAAATGAAAGTAGAGATATCTGTTGGTATCCAGCAGCTCTGGATGGAGGCTGTTTATCAATGCAATGGCTTCCTGGATCTGCCCTTTCAAGATCATCTCACGGATTTTTATTCTTTCATCCAGAGTCTCTAAATCCACGCTGGGTTCAATTCCAGACTCCATCCGAAATTTCTCTGCTGCTTCTTTAAAGCCCTCTGAAATAGGAACATTTTACCCATAGAACATATTGCATGAAACACTTTAGAAGAAAACATATCAGCTTAATTTGAGAGTTGCTTGTGCAATCTGGGGGTTTAAAGATTAACCCAAAATTGTGAAAAATTCTCCTCTATATAAGAAGTCATTTATCCAATAGGCATTTTAGAGTAAATGCTTAATTCATTCTGAACTCATGTTTGCTCACTCTCCAGGGAAGCAACTTGTAGTCCAATACCTCTTAACATGGAAACCTGTTTTATACTTAAAAAAAGCACTGTGCTTATTGCAAAATGAGATTGTGAAAGTCACATTTTCAAGTGGGTGGTTTTGCTTTGCCCTCCAGCCCCAGATCTGTTTACACAGATCCAGCAGTTTTTCTAAGATAGACAAGAAGATATAATTTTGCTTTCTCGTGTAGTATTTAAGGTTATAACAGCTCTTTTAAACCTCAGGTCTTGAGTTCACAGACACAAAACTGATTTACACCACCCACTGAGATGCTCTTCCTTCAACCCAGAGGCTTCCCTACACTCAGTGTAAACAGGGGTGTAGATGGATACAAACGCCTCCACCCTAGCACAGCTTCCTGGGATGGCATGCACCTAATTACCACCAACAATTCCCCAGGGGTTTGGCCTGTTCCAAGTATAAAGCCAGGCTGTGTGCTGAAGGGGTTAATATTCTGGTCTGAAATTATTTTGACAACAGTGCCCTCTCAGAGTTTATCTTTCTGCCCAGTTAAAAACTTGCTTCTGATAGTTGTTCTTGCAGCTTTCAGACTGTTATTTAACAACAGCAACTTATCTTGAGCTGTTTCAATGGCACACAAAAGGACATCACGGAGAAGCAGGTCATGTTTACAGCATTGCAGAAAACACTTTTTTTTCTCTATCATTTAGCAGAAGAGTTCAGGCTCATAAATGTCATCTGTATTCCACGAGAACTGCTCAGTCTCTGATTCTTTGTCAGTCTGCAGCTAAGAGAACACCAGAGCAGTTGGACTTTGCTAAGAGAAGCCAACAGCAATGACTAAGTTCTCACAGCCCTTAATTCCACTCCATCCAGGTCCATATTCTACCCCAAACTGATAAAGTATGTGACACACATGAAGAGCCTGCAGGTGTTTTTACCTGTGACAAGGTAGTTCATGATAAGGCGGTTCATGTCTGCTCTCTGGATATGTAAGTTATTAAGCTTTTCCATCCATTCATCTTTCGTGATTTCATCAGGTTTTTCTGCATAACTCATCCTGGACTCCAACTACAAAAGAAAAGCATCTAATTTAACATGATTCAAGAAGAAATAAGTTTAATGTGTGTAAGAATTGTGTTGCTGCCATCTTTAGAGCTTTCTATGAGTTCTTTTAAATAAATAATTCAAATTGACCCTTTTATCTTAAACCAGAGTTTTGCATTTTTTTCCTCCTCAATCCTGCACTCTCCTGTATCTATTTGCCAGGCCCTAAAGCTGCTTTCAGAACTCTCAGAATAAAAAATTCAAATACTATTTTTTTCTACTTACTCTTAAATCCACTCCATAAAAATCCTGTATAGAATTTACACAGGACATGCAGTATCACACTGTGAAACCAGCAAATCAGTGTCTGACAGCCAGCCAGAAAGACTGTGACAAACACTTCTAGCAATGCCTACGTAAACAATATCTGCTTTAAATCTTCACCAAAACTTCGGACAGCTTCCTATATCGCACAGCTACAAAAGCGTCAACGATGTATTATCCAGTGTACAACTCAAAGCTTTACACCAGCTCAGCTTCGCTGCCCCGAAAGTTCTCCTGTCAGCGCTACTAAAACGTTATCTCCACTATTTTTCTACACAATATTTCTGTTCGGATTGGCAGGCACAGCATTTTACCAAAGCCGCGTTTATGATTTCTACCTCCAAGTCCCGACCACGGGGGCAGCGAAAGGGGAGGACAGGAGGCCACAGCACCAGCAACAGGCACCGCCAGCCAGGTCAGACAATACGAGCGGCAGCGCGGCTCCTCACCGCGAGCCGCTTCCAACAGGTTCTCCCTTCGCTAACCCGCGCCCGGCCCGGCAACTCCGACAGCGGCAGCACGACCCGCCGGGCCCCGATCGCTGCCGGCCCCGCGTTCCGCAGCCGCGCTGGGATAACGAGGCTCCCGTCGCACCGCGCTGGTGCTGCGGCCCGGCCCGGCTCGCCGCGGACCCGGCTTCTCCCGCCGCCCCGGCCCGGCCCGGCCTGCGCGGGCCACAGGGGCGCTGGGCCACGGGAGCGCTGGGCCCCGCTCGCCACAGGCCCGGCGCCTCCGCTGCAGCCGCGGCGGGCGAGCGGCGGCCGGGCCGGCGGGTCCGGCTCAGGGTGAGGGCCCCGCTCCCGCCGTTTCCCGAGGCCGGCGCGGCCCCCCCGCCGCCATCTTACCGCGCGCGCCCGGGGCCGCTCCGACGCACGAACGCGGGGCCTCCGCCGCCTCCGCCGGGCCGCAGGCGCGCGGGTCTCGCGAGAGCGGCGCTCGCGGCCAATCAGCGAGCGGGGAGCGAGCGAGAGCACGCGACCGCGGAGCGGGGCCGGGGCAGCGCGAAGGTGGCCGGGGCGGCCATGGCGGCCGCGGGGCCCTGAGGGACGAGCCCGCCTTCTCCTCCTCCTGCTGCCCTGCCCGCCCGCTCCGCTCACGGTACTAAGCGCCGGCCCCGCCGCACGCAGCTGAGGCAGAGGCTGATCCGGGCCGTGCTCGGCGCGAGGGGCGCCGGAACCGCCGTGTGAGGCGGCGGCGGCGGCTCGTGCGCGGTCACAGCGGGGTCGGTGCGAGCTGCGGTTGTGGGGAGCGGCTGCGGGAGCTGCGGCCCCGCCATCTGCCAGGGAAACGGGCACGGCACCGCTGCGGGATCCCTGTGCAGCCCCGCAGCTTCCACTGTGGCGATCGGCTGGGCTGGGAGCTGTCCTGGCTCAGCATTGATGGTTTCTCTCAAAATGCGCAGTGGCTGCTGAGGCGTTGGTGAACCCACGCCCGGGTTTGTGGGTCACTGCAGATAAAGCAGGAACACAGTGTTGCCAAAATAGGTTCTTGCACCAGGTGAACAAGAAGCCATTCCACACACAGAGTCGAGGTATTTGATTTATTTACAGTTCTGCGCAGAAACGGGTGCTGGGTGGCCAATCCACAGAGTCAGCACACCAACTATCAAAATGTCTTACTATTTATACGTTTTAGCAAATGAATTCGTGGTCATTGGCTACAAGTTGAATAATCCGCATGCTCAGTCTCGTGTTTTGGATCCATCAGTGGTCACGATCTGCCCTTGCCCTCATTACCTTTAACCCAGTTGGAGCTGATTTCAGAACAATTGCTGAATTGGCTTTATTAGTGTCTTCCTTATCTTGGAGTTGTGTCAGATGGCCTTGTGGCCCATGAATTCTGCATTCTTTGTGTCCACAATCGTTGGTACATCCTTCTTAGCAAGCTTTGTTAACTTCCCCAAAACTTCAAAGAACATCCTCCCTTCAGAAAATTTTGCATATTCCACATTTTGCAACAAAACCTCGGTTTGTACATTTCAAGGGAGAACAGGCTTAAAATGTACACTTGTCTGTGTGAAATCTGCAAATGATATTCCTCAGGAAAAAGTAATTTCACTCAGATGGGGAATATGGACACAGTTGTACAGTTTTCATTCTTGATTTTGTAACTGCAATAAAGCCCAGGCTCCAAAACTCACTTTCATTACAGTTGTGCTTATGTTGAAACAGAAAAAAACTATGATGTAATAAATAATTTATTAGAGCCATAGAATATGCCACAGTTCTACAAGAATTTTACTGTGATGAGGCAGTAGTAACATGGAAAGTTGGATTTTTGGGGGGCAAGATGACAAAATTGAGATTAAACCAAATCTATAATAGCTGTAAGTGCAGTTTATAGATTTTTAACATGAATTAGAATTTGTTAAATCCTAATTTCAAAGAGGTGTTTTGATGACTAATATTTGGGGTTAAATGGAGTGAATCCCAAACCAAAGTCACTAATTCCAGGAGAAGTCACAAAAATACTTGTAATTGAAGGGAAGGAATTTACCTAGAATTGGAAAGGGGGAAAATTCTGCAAATTTATGTCAGCTGGTAAAGAAGGAATTTACTTTATGTGGATGTGATAACCCTCATTAAAGTATTTCTCTGTGTTCTTTTAGTCTTTTTGGAAAATCTCCAAGAGCCTTGGAGAATCAAGAATCCTGAAGAGCCTTACCTTGCCACCTGACGTGCCTATTTTGTGATGTGCAGAGCTCTGAGGACAGAGACCTTTTTCCACTAAAAGAAAAAAGGTAAAATTGGAGCACAGCCAACAGAAATTAGTCTCTTCTGAGTTAAATCTATTAATTATCTGTTAAGTACAACAAAATCAGCAGAGACTGAGGAGGGAAAAGCTTGTTTGCTTTCATCCATGGGCTCTCATCTGCAGTTTTTCCTGGCTGCTGCAATTGGCTCACTCAGAGAAATCAGTGATGGAGAACTGAGGGAAGGAATGAACATAAAATAAGTGTTGTGTTTATATTTAAGGTTGTGCATCTTCAAAGAGTGGTTAAGGGGAAAGTGGGTGAGAAGTGACATCCCAGATCTGGGGACATTGTGCCACACAGCAGTGATGTCACAAGGTTTTGTGGGTCACATGTAAGTAACAACCCCTGTGTGAGACACAACAAATAGAAGTGAGGCCAATCTTAGAAAGTTAAAAAAAGTTAAAAAAACCACAAACAAACATTAATTAGGGAAGCCCAAGGCATAAATAAGATGGGTCAGCTGCAGAGGAAAGTTAATGCACTGACCACTCACTTTTGGAAGGAAGTGGAAAAAAGTTTTAAGGAGAGTTAGTGCTGAGGGATTTGTAATATCTTAGCATAAGCTTCTCTGCTGTCTAAGGAGGAGAGACAGCTAAAGTGCTTATTAGACTGTTTTAGAAGCTGATTGATGGTTATTAATCCCTTCTAGGGATTTCCTAGCAGAGTTTTCATTTCAAACCAGTCACAAATTACCAGCATGTTACAGGAGAGAAGTCCTAAAGTGAAACAAAACTCACATTATAACCAAAAACTGCTCCTCCTGCTTTGCTGCCAGAATGATGTAGATTCAGACTAGTAACCCAGGAGTAAATTTCCTAAATTAAAAAAAAATAGGCTGTGAAAGGAAAAGAATTAGGAAGACAACAAGGCAGGGAAAGAACTGAGGTGACACATGTTTAGTCAGCAAAGGTAGATCCTCTGGCTGGCTTTAGCACAAAGGTGTAGAGGTTCTGTGGTTGGAAGTGTAGTGTGCTCAGGTGGTGCTCACTGGGTGCTCAGATTGCATCACCACTACTTAAAGTGGTGTAAGCCTCTTACTAAAGGTGTGTAAGAGGAATTTCATACCTGTTTCACTGCAGGATTCCTTGTGGCAGGCATCCCCCATTCACTGCTGCTGTGCAATTCCTTGTTTTGCATGTTCCCTCTCTGTTGGTGTGTGTAATTCCTGGGTTTGAGCACTCCCTAGATGCTAAATTTATCCATTAAAAGCACGTTATAAGCTTTTCCCAGAGCATAAATCACACTGCAGATTTATCTACCAAACCCTAAGGTATTTTCCCTCCATGTGATTTCATTTATTGCAGCTCTGTAGCTGCAGAACAAAATCTGAATTCCTGCTTGCTCGTAATTGTGATGGTTTGTACTTTTGCACAGGAATCTGTTGTGGCTTTTTACCTCTTGGTGTTTCTGGGTGAAGTATTAAGTCTGCCCACTTTTACAGCTGCAGAAAGAGGCTGACTATGCTAATAGCAGGTTTTCCAGCATTATCCTGAGCTTTTGCCACCAGAAGTCTTGAATAGACTTCTAAAAGATGTAATCAAAATATTTGACAAAATCCTGTAATTCTGTAGAATTATTTCTAGGTAGGTTTTTTTTTTTCCCCTCATGTTTTCATTCATTAATCTCAGTAAACACTGTATCTATCTGGAATCCACCTGAAACCTGTGTTATCAATCCATGAGGAAAAATGTGCAGGATCAGGGTAACCAAAGAGCCAAACTCACACCTCCAGCTGTCTAAAGGCTCCTCAGGTGCCCAGGTCAGGAGTCTCTGTGTGGTGTTGGGGGTGTTCTGCACCCCTTGGGATCCCTCAGTGTCTGTCAGGAGTGGATGTTTCTGGGTGCCAATGTCCCAAAAAGCAACAGAAGGAATTCCACGTGTAAATGGAAGTTAAACTCCCTGTAGCTATTTGTAGCAGCTTGGATCCTGCAGTGGTTTTTTAGTAGCTTAATCATTGATCAAGGATGTTTCCTGTGGAGGCTCCATGTGTTCGATGGGCTGATTCAGAGAACATTCCACTCTCAGCACTCCGAACTCGGAGTCAGAGGAAGGCATTACAGCAGCTATTTGCCAAACAGTGTGAGCAGAACAGAAAAACCAACCAGGTCCCAGTGGAACGCGCACAGGTGGGGAGCACAGCTGCTGTGAGCAGGTGGCTGTGCAGCAGCAGCCTGGCTCCTCTGCCCGTCCACCCTGACGAATCATGGCTAAATTGTAGTAGATATTGTGCCCGGGATCAGCGTGGGGTTGGGAGCGGGCCTGAGGGAGCGCAGAACGGGCACGGGAGGAATGACTGCCATGGCGCTGAGGGCCCCGCGTGAGGCACGGAGCGGCCGCCATGGCGCTGAGGGGCGCTGAGGGGCGCTGAGGGGCGCTGAGGGGCGCTGAGGGGCGCTGAGGGGCGCTGAGGGGCGGGGCCGCCGCTCTCCCGCCCAGCGCCCTCCGGGTCCTCCGGGAGGTGCGCGCCAAGGGCGGCGCTCTGGCCCCGCCGCCGCCATCTCGGTGTCGATGGTGGCGGGGGCGGAGCGGCCCCGCCCAGCGCTGCCGCGGAGCGAGGAGGAAATGGCGGC